GAAGATGTGATACCAAATTTATTGCATTCTCTGAGGTTAATTACAGCTTGGTCTAAACATCGCACAAGATGAGTTTCCTTGTGTGGTGCAAGTTGCAGCTCTTTTGAGTTGATTTGGAGCTTCAGACTTGAATTCTATTTAAATTTGCTAAGCTGGGCAGTTGAAATGTGTAATTGTGAATTTGTCTGTGAAAGGTGCTACATAAATATATATATATAAAAACTACTTACTTATATTTACAAGAACGTTTTTTTGCTGTAGGAACTGCATCCTGCTCAGTTATAAACAAACGAACTTAACAAACTCTATCATTTCAGTGATGGGGTTTCCACTGAGATTTTCCTTGCCGAAGAAGTACCTGTTGACCAGTTCACAGGAATTGGTTAAATGTTTATAAAACATTTAACAAATCTAATCTACTATATTTCTACTATGATCTAATCTATATTTAATTCTTGGCCAAATACGACTTGAAAATGCTGTTTATAATCTAACTAATGGCACCGTGTTTACACATAATTGCAGCATGTTTCAAAGTCATGGTGAATAAGGACTGATGTTTTAACACATGGTTTAATGAAACATACATAAACAAATGTGACTAAATTAACAGATTTAATGATGCGTTCTTAATCAGCCTCATCTTTGTTCATTGTCTACATTATTGTGAAAAAGCCTGTTAAGAGTAACAGTCTATTATCCCTCGATTCATATTTGCCACAATGAATGTGTTTACTAATCGCTTGGCTTATTGCTTATGTTCTTACTTATTGGCACAGAGCTATTTTTTTATGGTGCACAGTGGGATATGTGTGGGGAGAATCGAAGCCTCCTGCTGCTAGAAGTCCCAGTATTGATCTGCCAGCGATCAACAGGAGGTCGGAAAAATCTTTCACAAACATGTCACAGGCTAGGACCCGTGACAGAGCTGGATTTGTCTGGTTAGAAAATAAAGTGGCTCAGGTCAATACTGAACTACCAACAGAGAAACGGGAACGATAAATTACTTTATTTTTTATTGCGGTGTGATTTTAAAAATATATCTTCCCATTGAAATCTATAGTGATAATCTACAAACCTGCGATGGTCATAAAGCTTGTAGAATGGGTCAAAATAGCTTATTTCACTAGTTATTTTACCTGAAATCTTGAATATTAAATGAAAAATATCTTTATTTTTACAGAAATAGCAAGTTCAATTAAGATTAATTCATTCAATTTCAACCCAATTTATTTCTGTATAGCCCTAAATCACAACATCTCAGAGGACTTTAAAAAACCGTTGAAATTGCCAACACAGATAAAAGAATCAAACAGTTCAAACACAGAAAATATAAAACACATATGTATTGGTCCATAGGGAGACACCAACCCGTGAATGTTGATATATGTCCATAATGTTGTAAAAATTTGAGTGGATCATAATCACTGTCCTTTTTGTTAGACCCACTAACAGTCTAACCGACCCACCTGCATCTGCAAGGAAAAACTCTAAAGACTCTCTTAAGACCTAAAAGATCCATGGTCAGGACCTTTGATGAAGAATTTTACCTATGATGGATGTTTTGTGTGATGATGGAAACTGTAGCGCCTGGAGGAAACCTACCAAGACACAGGAAGAAACATGCAAACTCCACACAGAAATGCAGACACAGGATTTGAACCCATGACCTTCCTGCTGTGAGCCATGAGTGACCTTTAATGGCTATAACAGGTATCGCTGGTTTGATGGATGTCTACTATGGCCTTATGTTTGATAATTGTTAGTGACATCCGCGTTGACGTTGAACAAAATATGTCTAATTATTTCATGTTTCTGTCTGTTCCAGATGTTGTGTCTTGGAATACGGACACATCGGGTCACATAGATCACCATGCAGAATCCCCTGAAGAATTGAAATGACAGCTTACCAGAGCTATGCATTTTAAACAGCCTTCTGTCATCGCACCCATCTGCGTTTAACTACCCCCATATGATATTAATATATTTAACAACCAATTAGTCCTGTCCTGTACAGATGTGCCTCATATCTATTCGTCTCTTTGTTCTTCTGCGTGACAGTTAAAGTGACTAATTTCCAAAAAAAAAAGCGTGCATGTTTAATCCACGAGGACAGTCAAGGGATATTGGCATTGTTGCGACGCTCATGTTTGAACTGGAATGCATGGGGGAGTCTTGGAAGGTCATGTTTTGAATAGTAATTTGGATACAGCACTGAGATAGATCCCAGTAAAAGCACATGTACACGGTCTGTTGATGGTCCTATTTTCTGCGCTTTTAGCATTTTTATTTTATAGCATATTTGATTCCAGAGGACAAGGGCACTAGGGTGTAGAGCCGTTTTTTTTGCTTTCTCCGGCTGGTTTTGAAAGGTTCCTTATGGTAGTAATAGAGTTTTGTGAGACAGTGGATGCGCCTGGGTCAAAGCAGGGGTCCGTTTACACCGGGGCATGTCCTGTTTTTACTATAATGGGAGGAAACGCCCAGGATTGGGGTGAATACTTTGCAAATGTAGTTACAGAATACCAAATAGGTACATTTAAATGTATTTTGTTGTGTTTGTTGTGCATTATCCACTCATTTGCATGTTATAAAAGTATGAAAGTATATATAAAAGTATTGTATTCAAGTCTCTCGCACCAAAGTACATCTGTGACATGTTAGAGCCATATGAACCAACTCGGACTCAGAGGAGCACAGGGACTGGCCTCCTGCTGGTGCTCAGAGTCTGACTAAACAGGGGGAGGCAGCATTTCAGATTTATGCAGCTAAAATCTGGAGTATGTAGCTGTGCTGATGTATTGTACTTTTTTAATGCACTGTGATTATTAATGACGGGTTTGCATTCTTTTGTTTTGCTGAGCACCTTGAGTTGTGAAGGAACTGTGCTATACAAATAAACTTGCCATGCCTAAAAGCGCAGCATGGGGTTTTTTGCATTGTATTCTTAGTACCACCGACAGAAAAAGTATCGTAATGCATTCTGAGTATAGTTACCCTAAATTAGCATTCTGAATACATATTTATAGCTACTCCACAACACTGGGGAGATATCAAGTGAAGAGAGAGTTTTGTATTGAGGTAACACATGACCAAAATCATGTATCATATATTCAAACACACTTGAGATCCAATTACAGGTCATTTGGTATTTTTATAAAGTTTTGTGATGAGGCAAAAACTTTTGATAAAAAAATCAAATAGTGGTTTACAAAAACAGCAATTTTATGCTAAGTCAAGTTTTCTGAAAATAGTCTTGGTGTTCACACCGCTCCTTGCCCTTTCCCCAGGGGTTCATTAGATTCAATGGAATTCAGTGACCCAGAAACTAATCTTAAATCAATTAGGATACACACTTGCATTCATCTGAGCTGCTAATTACAAAAGCAGACTCCACCTCAGAGGAGGGGTCTGCTGCTCTTTGAAGACTGACTATTCACTCTCACATCTTTCACTATAAAAAGTATCACAACTTCAAATCTTTGATAGTTTCAGACCCCACGAAAACAACACAATAAAAGGATTGCTTCTGTCTGTTCACTTGCAATGTTTTCATCTTTGTTTTTCTTTTGTCACATCTAAATTATTGAAGATATATGCAAATAACAAAACAAAACAGTCTACTAAGCGTGCATGACATTTTTTAGAAAGTATAGGCAGTTGATAGTTTAGCATCCATGAGGCATTTTCAGATTGTTTGCCACAGTAAGCCGAGGCAAGGAAAGTTTATTTGTAAAGCACAATTCATACACACAGCAATTCAAAGTGCTGAACAAAACAAGATAGCAAAAAATTCACAAAGAATTACAGCACATCAAAAAGAAGTGCTGGTTATCACATTAATTTATACTTCATTTGTAATTTGTGATTTTGGAACCACCTGCCTGAGGAGATAAGGCTAGACTAAGACTATCAGTATTCTCTTTTAAATCACTTATTAAAACCCACTCAAATGTTAGTTTTAAACTTCACATGTTGTTTTTGTGTTTCCTTCTTCCTGAATCTACTGTTAATTATTTTGATTTTGTATTATTATGACTTATGACATTATTATTGTGACCGTGCAGCTCTTGGTAAAAACTGTTTTTGAAAAAAAAAATGGTTCCCGCACACTGCTGTCCTTGCAAAAAGTGTGCGGGAACCATTATTTTTTTCATGTGCACTAGAACTATTTCCCCTTCTCCTACGCACCTGCTTCTGTACTTTTAATGTTGTTTTATGTCTCTACTTGTCTTTTGCACACTGGGGACTTTTGCTAATGTATTCCAATGTGGTTTCACTGCAAATGGCGAATAAATGAATCTGATCTGATCTGAAAGTTCTATTCCTTGAACACCCCCTTTTGTAATATTATTTAAAAAAAGATCCATTATTATTAATACTACGAGCAATCGTGCAAGTTCCCTTCCTACACAACCTATTATTCATGCCGAACAAAAGCCTAGGTAAATGGGCTACTTCCCCTTTAAGAAAGTGACAGCAGAGAGCAGCGGTGGAGGAGCTGGTCAGGAACTGGACCAGAGGAATCTCAAAACTTTTCCCCAGTCTTCACCCTGCCCCGGACCGCTATCTTTCATCCACACACGGCTATACTGCTGGGAATATCACACCACCATTTGGATATAGCTTGTTTTGATTTTAATCGTTTCTTTCTGATGACTTGGAGTAAGAAAAGTCTCCCGCTACCAGGAGAAAACTTGAGGGAATGATGCGCGAGCCACTACTGCATCGGTCCCTCCAAACTTTAGCTAATGTGGCTAACGCGAGCTAGCTCTTAAATTTCACACCAACACACAATTGATAATCTTTTACAAACACGTGTGCGGATAAACTGAGTAGAATGCATTGCGTGTGTGCTGGTTGCATCCTATTTATCCACGTTTTTCTGTCTTGACCTGGCCACGAAACAGGGGCGAAGCTAGCAGGACTTAGCCGAGTGCAGCTAACACACAGACAGCCCGAGTTGGACAAGATTGAACATTGTAAATAAATAGACAGAAATGGCATGTCACGAAAAGCCCGTGAGTCTCTACTTCTCCCTGTGAGTTTGTGGCATGTTGGGCATTTCACTTGGATTTATTGTGGATACAGATATCGTGGAGTTTCAGAGTATTTTTCAGAGGCATACCTTTACAGAGAGGAGGGAGTGGAGGAGGACTTGTCCACCATCATCACAACAGTAAGTAGCAGTCTAATCTGTCTAATTTAATGTATGCATTTATTTGACTAATTATTGTATAGTTCAATTGTATTTTCAAATTAGGTTATCAAATATGAATTCTTTATATTTCATTTATTTATCTGTATTTTTGAAATTCACCTTTAATTCACCTAAAAAGTCCATACACTCAACAAAAATACAGACAAAAAAAAACATAACAAAGAAAACATACAGTAATATGTGACTGACTGCTCAAAACACTCTTGACCTGCCATAGTGATTTGGTTAATTATTGTTGATGCAAATTATACTTAAAAAAATAGAAGGGCGTCAAATGTTGTGGGTCCAAAACAACTTCAAAGCTGGCAAATTTGAACAAACAGGAAAAATATTTTAGTATTTCCTATCCTGTAAGTAAATATTTGTGACGACATAAAGTGTCTATAAAGTATATTGTTCAATTAATTGTAAACAAAATTTTCATCTTTTTTTTTTGATATGGTTAATATGCAGTTTGTGTGTGTGTATGAACTGAACTGAAGCTGCACTTTTTTCTGTTTAACAAACTTTATTTTTAACTTATTCAAAACAAATGAACTGATTGAATTTTAACTTTTATTTATTGTCAAATCTGTTTTATGTCCTTTACTCTCTCTCAATAGCACTGCATCTATGAATATTAGGCTTCATATTAGAGGACATGTTGTGCCATTTTTTTGGTTGTGCCTATTATGAAATTACTAATGTTTCTCTACTCTTTCTCAGCACTTCTTTGGATAAACCAGTTTGACTTGGACTTCACATCTGAGTCTTGGATGAAGCTCACCGTGATGAAGGTGACTGTGTGTTTTGGTCAGACCGGGATTGTGGTCCCCTGTAAAGACGGCTGGACCGTTAGAGACCTCATTCAACAAGCAACACAGAGATACAAAAAACTTCTGGAACAGGTAAGATTAATGCAACACTTCCACTTCTTAAGAAAACTACACATTAGGACTAGGGCTGTCAAAATTATCGCGTTAACGCACGTTAATTAATTTTTTTCTTTAATCGCGTTAAAATTAACGCATTTGACGCATGCCCATGCGTCCCATAATAACACTCAGAATGCCGCGGACACATGCGTGTGTAAGATGGGGACAGAGCAGGTAGGCCCTCTGGGAATTCAAGTTTTGAAAAAATACACGCGTGACCGCGGGGCACTTGTTGTTTCCTGTTTGAACTCTGCATGATGAGCTGCGGACGCGACAGCGCTCTGGACAGCAGGTCCCACCTCCAGCGGCTGTGATCACGGCGAGCGGCGCTGCGTAATGGGATCATATCCAAGACCACGCACAGAACTATTCTCTAGTGTGCGTACGTGTCTTTGCGTAACCGATGCACACAATATGTACATCGCTGAAGCTGGACTGTGGAGCCTCAGTCTCCTCCGTGTCTTCTCCCGAAGCGCACTCGCTAAATTAAAGCTGAGGTACCTAATTTTCCTTTCGACTACCAGTTCATGTTAGTTGTGCCAAAAAAAGTAATGGTGTGAGCAAATCAAACAGATTTAATGACATTCTGCATTTGACTATTCTGAAATGTCCCTCATCTGTAACAAACAATGGTTTTGGTCTGAGTCTAAACGGAAAGACAGAATGTTAATAATGTTAATTCCATTGAATATGGATTTATTGTTATTACAAACAAATACAGTACATATGTTCACTAAGCTGTCATTTATCTTTCCATTCAAACAACAATTTACAAAAAAATATGGCATAATTTTGCCAATAGTTTGAAATGCGATTAATTACGATTAATTAATTTTTAAGCTGTAATTAACTTGATTAAAAAAAAATAATCGTTTGACAGCCATAATTAAGACTATAATAAAATGTTTATATTCTCTTCAATTCAATGCTATTGTTTATAATCCATACCTGGCAATATAGAATTCATGAATGCTGAATGAATCAACTACGAAATATATAAAAACAATCAAAAAGCATACAATTACACAATTAGAAATCATAAGAACAAATACTTTGCAAATCTAATCAGCCAGAACAAAAATAATCCAAAAATCCTTTTTTCAACCATCGACACCATTTTAAACCCTGATTTTAGCATGTCTCTTTTAACCCCCACAGACTCCCTCTGTGAGGATTTTGCAGTCCACTTCACGGGGAAGATAAATACAATCAGATGTAACATTTTATCCAACCGCACAACTGTTTTTAACACATCTGATTGTTTGTCTTCGCCAGAGGAAACACTGGACAGTTTTGTCCTGGTTGATGCTGAGATGCTTGATAAAGTTTTCTCCTCAGTGAGGCCCACCACATGTCTTTTAGATCCAGTCCCCACTCCATTTTTTAAGTCATTTTATGAATCTTTTAGAGAGGAGCTTTTAAACCTGATGAATTGCTCTCTTCAGACTGGGGTCTTTCCTGCAGCCTTCAAAGCGGCTGTGGTGAGACCCCTTCTGAAGAAGAGCAATTTAGATTTTAATGATTTTAACAACTACAGACCGGTATCCAACTTACCATTTTTAAGCAAAATTTCAATCAGGTTTTAGGGTGAACCACAGCACAGAGACTGCTCTTTTAAAGATTTTAAACGATCTTAGACTAAGTTATGATTTCAAAAAGGTGACTGTGTTGGTTCTACTGGATCTTAGCGCTGCCTTTGATACAGTAGACCACACAATTCTTTTATCACGCCTACAACACCTCGGCCTCTCTGGTGCTGTCCACAAATGGTTCACTTCTTATTTAACAGACAGATCCTTCATGGTAAGTTTGGATACCTGCTCCTCTCAGGTCCATAAAATCACATGTGGTGTGCCCCAGGGTTCCATTTTAGGTCCAGTCCTTTTTAACCTGTACATGCTCCCTCTTGGCGGTGTCGTCAGGAGACATGGAATTAACTTCCACAGTTATGCAGATGATACACAGCTGTACATCTCCATGTCTCCTGATGACACCAGGCCAATGGATGCTCTTTTTAACTGCATTTTAGACCTGAAATCCTGGATGGCAGAAAACTTTCTCCAGCTTAACCAGGACAAAACTGAGGTTTTAGTCATCGGTCCTGAGGCCCAGAGAGAGAAACTTTTATCAAAACTCCAATCACACTCTTTTAATCCATCATCACAAGTGAAAAATCTGGGCGTAATCTTTGACTCTGAGCTGACTTTTATTCCTCACATCAAGAGTATCACAAAAATAGGTTTTTATCATCTAAAGAACATCGCCAGAGTCTGCCCCATTCTCTCTCGGGGCAACACGGAGACGCTGATGCATGCTTTTATCACCAGTCGCATTGACTACTGTAATGCCCTGCTCTCTGGTCTTCCCAAAAAGAACATTGCAAGTCTTCAATTACTCCAAAACTCGGCCGCACGTGTCCTGACTAAGACCAGGGGGCGGGACCACATTACACCGGTTTTAAAATCGCTGCATTGGCTCCCCGTGTGTTTCAGAATTGATTTTAAGGTTCTTTTAATGGTTTTTAAATGTCTTAATGGTCTTGGGCCTTCTTATCTTTCAGATTTGCTTTTATCCTATGAACCTTCCCGGCCCCTGCGCTCCTCCGGCAGCAGACTCCTAACCATCCCCAAAGTCAGGACACACACTCACGGCGAGGCATCTTTCCAGCACTACGGCCCCCGTCTCTGGAACAGTCTGCCGGAGGAGCTCAGGGCCGCAGAGAACGTTCATATTTTTAAAAGTAGGCTCAAGACGCACCTTTTTAGAGTAGCTTTTGATTAGTTTTTATTATTCCATTCTATTTATCTTTTATTATTTATTATTTATTATATTGCTATTGCTATTATTCATGTATTGTGTGTTCCTTTTAGTCTCACATTTTAGTGTTTTACTTATTGTATTGTTTTTAGTGTACCCAGTGTTTCCTCTGGAGGAGCCCTCTGCACCGGGAGCAGTGGTCGGTGTGGCTGGTTTGTTTGGTTTGTTCGGTGTGGCTTGATTTGTTTGTGGCTATTAAAGTTTCAGAGACAAACTTTCCATAAAAATGTCTGTATTGTGGTCTATATTCAAGCCCAAGCTTCCAATCTTGTGTAAATTTGGGAAAATTGATAGGATTTCTGTGTGGTGGGTGGGCACTTGGCAGCAATCATAAAAGCAGCAGTAGTATGAATTTTAGCTTTGCAGCCATTATATTAGTTTTCAAAATTACTTGCCCAGATTGTTAAATGTAACGTTTCGATTTCAATCCTGTGAAAATGCAACTATAAGTCACAGAAATATAGTCTCACCCCTGCTTTTAAATGTTACTAGTACAGTTTTCCCCAACCTTTTTGAGCCGTTGACCAGCTAAAACTGATTCGAACATGTAACGCTGCAGCCTTTAATTAAGAAAACAAAGTCATTCTCATCAAAGTGTAGTTTACATAGTAGAAAATCAAAGAAGTGCAAAGTATTTCTAATCGTCTAATTATTTGTTATTTAACATTATTTTGACCAAGTAGGTGATCTTGGATAATTTCCCACGGCTGACTGTTTGAAAAACATTGCACCAATTGCTCTATAGAACTTTTCTTGAAGCTTATTTTGAGTGGATTATAGTCATGCTTTTCCTCACTAAAATCCCATATCATGTTTTATGTTCACTTGCCTGTCACGCTTGAGGACATGAACAAAGGCGGCTCGGAAATGCTCCATTTTTGTCTCATTGACCTCTGAGCCTTCACTTTAACTGTTAAAAAACCCTCACACGTCGCATAATAGCATTGGGATGACCTCTTAAAAGTGACTGATGGCAAACTATCTTTTCCCTTTTATTTCATTCGAGGATTTTTCCCCGTAGCCCTTACAAAATCGTCATTTCGATATCATAAAAGGACCATACGAGTTCTCAAAGTCTGGGGAAATTACACGAAGCCGCGGAGGTCTAACGCTCCATAATTGCTGCATGAAAAATTAAAAGCATATCTGATTTGAATTGTGACGGTCCAGACAGTGGCCTATTCCTATTGTAAGTGTGTGTATGAAAATGAGTGCCTTTGGTGGCTTTCTTTTATGAGAGCTGTTGATTCCCAGCGCTATAGCCTCATGACCTCCATCAGAAGACCAAATCTACTCAGTGACTGCCTCCATATTGGATCCATTATTCAAAGAGCACACCGGATAGACGGGGCCTCAGCTGCTATGGAACCAGACATGTGGCACTATAGTGTTGTTTACAAAGACAAAAGAAGCAATAGATGGACTTAAGTACCAGCCTCTACCTCTTGGCAATCTGCTTTCGCTTTCATCTGCCCGTATATAGAACTGCTTAAGCCTGCTGGACACTTGTTTATCCTGTGTTTTATCTCTTCGATACTTCTATAGTGAGGAAGACCTAGATTTCGACACTCTCATCTTGTCACCCGATATGCCATTGGAAGGTCTACCTGAAATTGGCAATTGAAATGGCAGTAGTCTTTCTTGCTAATAGCTTCTTTCTGGCATTGTGTTGGGCAAGACACATTTTAAGGCGGTCTGCACACATAAGATACTGGTATGAATATCAGTGAGAATCATGGAAAAGCATTTTGTTAAAGAGCAGTTATTGTAATTATTGAAAACATTTAGATTCGTTTTGATTAATCAATCTTTTATAGCGCTAATCGGCTTGATTTGCCCATCAGGTCTATTATACTGATTTTATTGGTTGGAACTTTTTTAATTTCTGGTTTTCACTCAAAATGTCTTGTTATAGTTTATCTTTCTAGTTTCAAATAAGGCTGAACATCCCAGTAGCCTGAACTAGCGTGCTATATACAAAAAAAAAAAGCTATGTAGCTCCCAAGTAGGGCTGGGCGATATGGCAAAAAAAAAAAATCTCAGATTTTTTCACACCAAATCCGATTTTCGATTTTAATCGATTTATTTTTTTCTATTTAAAAACAAACTACAACTGACAAAGAAATAGATTTTCCTTTATGCAGTTTAATCTAAAT